ACACACACACACACACACACACACACACACACACACACACACACAGAGCCTCCCATCCCCTCCTTCTTCCCACCTCTGCAAGGGACAAGGACTAAGGAGGACAGGCAGGCGCTGCTGGAAGGGGAGTCCTCTCTGAAATGCACTGAATAAAGCCGGTGCAGGGACCCAGGAGCCTGTGCAACCTTGGGGGCACATATCTGACTCACCAGCCCGGGGACAAACTGTACCATCGATGACAATGCCCCGAGGACAAGAGGCACGCATGGTGCCCAGCTGAGTAACTTATGCCTTAACCTTGTTTTAAGGTAGAAATAAAGGGGGATACATCAAAAGCATGTCTCTGTTATATAGCATGACTTTTAATGCCATAAAATCTTAAGGAAAAAAGTGTTTCATCAGAGTTTAATAAGCCTTGCTCTAGGACACCCCCTTCTGTGGGCACAGCACACCCTTGTGAACGGCACTCGGACAAGGGCTTCCCTGCTTCCTTACTTCTGCCTCTGAATGCTGGGGAGGGACTTGCTCACCTCTTGCTCCCTAAAACATTCCAGTGGCTGCTTGACCTGGGATGGCCAATGATGTAGCTTCCCCCACCCCAACACCCATTATTCCTGCTCTGCCCTCTCAGCCTCCCAGATTTGCCCAGATTCGCACTTCAGTGCCACAGTGCTGGCGTCTTACACCCTGACTTGGAGTTTCTTCACGTTTACACACAGGTTGCTCTTAAACCAAGTTACCACCGCTCTATTTTTATGCAATCAAAATACAAAAAAACTCAAGACTAAAGCCTTAGAAATTCTCCCATGTTTTCCCTCCAGAACCAGAGACTTCAAGTGGTAGCTGGAAGTTGCAGAGTAAAATCCCTACTAATCCCAGGGCTGCCTGGCTCAGTCATTCTAGTTTAGCCTCAGTAAGGTTTAGTAAAGGAGCAGACAGAACTGATATAAAGTAACACTTTATGGAAACATTTTTTTCTCAAATGGTAAAATCAAAACCAGAAGGTAACATTTTAAAATCATTTTTCATTTGAGTCATAATCTTCATGAATGGGATAACCAGACTAAAGAAGACTCCATGAACTCAGTCAAAAGTGCTTATTTGATTTAGCATCCAAACACCCTAGATCTGAGAATGCTTTTCTAAGAAACTTGTTAGGGGTAAGGGTTGACATCCACATTTTTTTTTAAAAAGATTTATTGTGCATACAGAACTGGGGTACAGGACAGAGGCTCAGGGGCGGTGAGAGGCTTCACCAGAGACAGAGTGGGGAACAGAACAGGCAGATTGACAAAGTACACTGCTGAGGGGAGCAGCGGGCGGGTCAGGAGAGGTCTGCCACGCCATGTGGTCACCTCCGGGGTAGGCAGGAATCGAACTCATGAGGAAGCGGCTTTAGATTCTCAGTGCTGTGCTTTAACCCGCTGCGCCACCAGAGAGGGCCCGACATCCACATTTTTAAAAATTGCCATGGGCAGCCACACCACAGACCGAACAGGTCAGATGGAGCCCAGAGTTCAGAGAACAGCAACCTCGGACTCCTGAGACAACTCTACCCCTAGGACTCCTCCCAAGTTCCTCCCTGCCCTTCCCCCATCCCACAGCAAGAACAAGCACCTCACAGGTAGAAAATCTGGGAGGCTTGTATCTTCAAGGCCTTTTGCTCCTGCCTGTGTCTGCTCTTGCCCAAATCAACACTCCTTTTCTAAATGTTCTGGGTATCTATGCCCAAAATTGGCCTTAAAAGTGCACGCTAGGGGCCCTCCCTGGTGGCGCAGCGGGTTAAAGCACTGCACTAAGAAGCTAAAGCCACTTGCTCATGAGTTCAATCCCTGCCTGCCCCAGAGATGACCACATGGCGTGGCAGACCTCTCCTCACCTGCCCACTGCTCCCCTCAGCAGTGCACTTTGTCAATCTGCCTGTTCTGCTCCCCACTGTGTCTCTGGTGAATCCTCTCACTGCCCCTGCACCTCTGGCCTATACCCCAGTTCGGTATGCATAAATAAATAAATCTTTAAAAAAACAAAAGTGCACGCTAGGATAGAAAAGATGCACATTACAGGCAGCAAAGCCTCATATGCCATTTTTTAGGAACTGGCTGCCCATCAAGAATCATCAGAGCTTTAAAAAGTCTCCTTGACTTGGACCTATGCAAAGGCCCAAAGCCTTAGTTGGTAGGCGGTGGGGGCCAGGGCATCATTTTTGTTTCAAAGTCCTCCCTTGATGACTCTATGTGCTAAGAGTTGACATCAACATGTTAGGAGGAAAGGATGTCCTGTTACAGGCAAGTGAACATGCAGGCTAGAAAATAAACAAGGGATAAGCATGCATGGGCGCTTGCTTGAGGAGTAACCAGACTGTTCTGTCATCGTGATGGTGTTCAAGTCAACTCAGGTATAGCCTGGCATTTGGAAGTTTCTCCTTTTCCAGCAAGTCTTGAGAAAAGGATTCCCTAGAGGTCACCTCACCCAGTTCCCTGGGTGTGCTCAGTCCCAAGGGGGCATCCCAGTGGAGTACATGTGCTATGTCTGTGAGGGAAGGGGAAGACGAACAGTCGACTCAGAAGCAATTTTGGCATTTAGTGGCAAGCAGCCTAAAATGCAACCGTGAATCAATATTAAAATTCATACTGTTTCACAGATGACATCTTTAAAAATGTTCTCTCAATCATGATGGAGTTAGGGCTGATCTCAGTATAACATGAAGTATAATCAACTTAAAAATGATGGGCCTCCTCAGCCCATCCTAGACACAACTCTTAATGGGCTGCCCTGAGTTCCAATGGCCGCTGATGCTCACTGACTCTGCAGCAAGCTTACATACACAGGACGAAATATGCCTGAGGGAGGTCTGACTCTAGAATCAGATCACCGACACAGCAGTTTTAGGTTTTGGTCCATGGCTCATCAGGATTTTGTTGCAGGCTCACTATCCAGTAGACCTCCAAGGGTCAAAAAATGAGGTTGTGACACACAGATGGGTTCACTGTTGAATCCGCCATGGATTTGTTTCCCACATGGGAATAGGGCACTCCTGAGAAGACAGAGAAGCTGGGGGAGGCAAACTCAGGTGGGCTCAAGAGACCAGAGTCCTGTGCTCTGTGGGGAATGTGCACCTTGATGATGACATCCCTCCATGCCAGCCAACTGAGCACTGGAGAGGAGAAATCCTGGCAAGTGTATGACTTTTCTCAGACATTACATGGTGCAACATGCAAGTTTTGAGGCCCGACTGTGCCCCTTTAAGCAGTCATGAGTCCTGAGTTGAACTTCTCAAAATGGGATCCTGGAGCCACTTCTATCAGAACCAGACTTCAGTTCCACACCAGAACTCACAGATCAATTTCTATGAGGTCATTCTAAGCACATTAAACCTACAGAGTCAGCAATCTGGAGCCACAATTTTCTGTTATTTTCTAAACTTCAATGTCAATTGCTTAAATAGCATGGCTATTCTCAGCTGCCCTGAAGCCTCTTGGTAGCAGCTGTAATCAGGAAAAAAAAAAAAAAAAAGACATCCTTCAACTACAAACAGTGAGGTTCTGGGTTTCCCTTTTGTTAAAGAAGATGGTTTCTTAATGAGACTGGCAGCAGGTGGAAGGGGCGAAATACTAGAACAGAGGGAGTGACTGCCCAGGGAAATTTGGGCATGGAAAGGCATAGACATGTTGCTATCTCTATCACCACCCAAGAAATTTTAGCACCATATTCTCCCAGAATAAGGTCCTAGACTTGAGTAAGTCCCCCAGGCTCCAAGCCCTGAGAAGCAAGTAGCCTGCAATGGCAACAGCTGGTTTAATCATTCAGTCTCTGGCATGATGACTCAGACAGCAAACCTGCCTCCCCCAAACAGGAAGTGGCCAGGTCTCTCTATTCATTCAGCACACTGGCCTTTGTTTTTACTTTCAGCCAATGTCATGCCAATCTTTTATTCTGCCTAACTTCTTACAATTAAAAAGAAATCTCCTCAAATTATCCTTATATTCATTTTGACACCAATGAGGCTCTTTTCAAAGGGCACTTGATCGAACACGTTAAACTCAGCAGAGCACTTTTGTGTCACTGTCTATTCCATTAGCTTTGACATCACACTAAAGTAGGACAGCATGTTCCAAAACAAACTGAAACAGGCACAGAAAGCTTTACTGGTTTACCATGAAGAGAGGGTTAGAAGCCTTGCACCTGGACTCTAACTTTTCAAATTATGTAAGCTAAAATTATACCTAGCTAACTCAAAGTAAAGTAGGAGCAGAAAAGGAAGTTTTTTAAAATATGGGGCCCATTCCTTAAAGGACTTATAACATCTAACCAGTCTTACCGTGTGTTCTATTTGTCACCATGATACTGTTTTAAAAATGAGTAGCAACTTGCTCCCCACTCTGCCTCTGGTGAAGCCTCTCACCACCCCTGCACCTCTGGCTGTACCCCAGTTCTGTATGCATAAATAAATCTTAAAAATTTTTAAATAAATTTATAAATAAATCTTTTTAAAAATGAGCAGCAACTCAAATATCTTTTTTTAAAAAAAAAAGATTTATTTATGCATACAAAACTGGGGTACAGGTCAGAGGCTCAGGTGTGGTGAGAGGATTCACCAGAGACAGAGTGGGGAGCAGAATAGGCAGATGGGCAAGGTACACTGCTGAGGGGAGCAGTGGGCGGGCAAGGAAAGGTCTGCCTCGCCATGTGGGTCACCTCCAGGGCAGGCGGCGATCGAACTCATGCTGAAGTGGCTC